GGTGGGCTCTGCAGGCGGGGGAGGCTGACAGGCTGCTCCTATTTGAACCCAGGCCCACACAGTCAGGGCCCTAGTAGGGGAGCCAGGCTGCCCTCGGCAGCCAGGCCCCAGGAGCTGGCGTGTTTCTCAGGGAGGGAGACGCTGCTCCTGCCTAACGAGTTCCTGCGCAGCAACCGGCGAGGGGAGCCTGGGGAAAAGGAATCGGCTTCTCTTCACAGGCCTGGGTTCAACCCTCGTAAACCAGCCTGTCCCCTTCTCTCGGCCCAGGCTGGGGGGGAAGAGGAATCCATTTACAGACGGCTATTGGCCAACGGCCTCTCATCGCCTGCAACAGGCACTTGGGTCTCCAGCTCTCGGCCTTGCCCTTCCCTCTTTCTCCTCCTTTCCGAGCCGGCCTCCAGCGCTGCCTGGCCGGCTCTGAGAACTGGATTTTGGGAGTGTTTCCTGAAACCTACCCAAGAGCCCCGCAGACCGGCCGGCGAAGAGGCTCCCTGCTTGCTGGGCAGGGGCTGCTCGTGCCCCGGGAAGGCAGAGCCGAGCCGAACGTTACTCCCGTCTCCCCTGTGGCATTTCGCCCGGCTCGCCACCCAACGTCACGCTTTGTCCTTCGGCACGTGGCACCCTGCTGCCCACAGCGCCCCGGGCAGGACGCGATGCTCACGGGGCGGGCTGGGACCTCAGCAGGGGTCGCAGCCCGTTTGACCGGGGTCGCCAGGCTGGGCCTTCGGCTTGCTGGGACTCGGGGCTCAGTCCGTTGCTGTGCCTCCGGGTTCCACCCCAGCCTGGCGTTAGCCACAGGGAGAGGGGCTGTGCCAGGGGAAGGAAGGTACCAAGTCCCCTGACTCTAGCCCAGTGTTTCTTACACTGGTGTGCCGCAAGGCAGTCGGAGGCGTGCCGTGGAGAACAGAATTCAAAATGGCCGCTCAACAACTTCCCTCCCCCCCCCTTTTTTTTGTTCAATAACTTTCCCCTGACTCTTTTTTGGGGGGGAGGAGTCAACAAAACAATCCTTGGTGTTCCGCATTAACAACAATTATTGTTTAAGAAACACTGCTCTAGCCTCTGAGCAGCCCGCGGTCCGTATTTCTATGCCCAGGTGGCGGGGGGGTGGGCAGATAGGACAGAGGGCTACAGCCTGCAAGACAGGAATGCTTGGTGCCCATCCTGGTCCCCTAAGGCTGGCCTCTCCTCTCGCTGCGCTCCATGAGGAACGGGACGTAGCCTCACACCTGCCATGGCAGCCTGCGAGGCTGCCGACCTACCGGCGTCCATTACAACCAAAGCAATGGCACGCTGGGAGGAACGCCCCTCGGAGGAGCCAAGTTTAGAACACAACGCGTCTCCTCCTTCTAGCTAGCGGGGGGAGCACGAGGCTCGAGCCTGCATCCCTGAAGAACAAAAGTTATTTTCTCTCTGTGGTGTTCAGGGTCACTAAGCCCTGACAAGGCAAAGTGCCCAGCAATGGTGCTGGTAACAGCAGACAGGCCCAGCCAGGCTGTTCTAACCACCACCAGGCAGATTTGAACCTGGACCCCTTGGAGCTTAGTGTAGAAGAGTCTACAGCGCACGCTACAAAGCCAGCTAGCGTTCAGCTCCGGCTGTAGCGCTGCCTTGTTCTTACCTCTCGCTGTACGTGGTCCAAGTGCCACTGCATGGGGCAGTGAACTACGCTAGGGGTACGGCTACCGGGGGGGGGGGGAGGCTGGGAAAACTCCACCACGCCCAGGGAATGCGTTTGCTCTTCCGCTATTTTTGCGGAAGAGCAGACACGCTCTTTCGGAAGCCCCTGTATTCCTCGTTCCACAAGGAAGACGGGGGGTTTCGAAAGAGGGGGTTTTTCCATTTGGGCCAAGTTTTGGAAAAGCCTCTTCCGGCAAAAGTATCGGAAAAAGATATGCAAAATGCAAAGCGTATTTTACGTATCTTTCTCCAATCGATCCTCACAGTCTAGACTTACCCTAGGTATGTGGGTGAGTGTCATTTGGGGCAGAAGTTTCCCAGTTCGCTTCGCGCTAAACTGGTACCATTTCTCCAGTTGTCCAGGGGCCGTGACTCTTGTAGAACAGGGTGTGAGTCCAAATCCTCCCTAGGTTTGCTCAAGCAAAGCCGGCCTCGCCTTTGCCTGCCTCTGCCAAGAAGCGAGGTCCCTCTGTGGCAGCATCCCGCTCGCTAACCGGACCCCACTTTCTGTTTGCTTGCAGGAGAAACGTATTGCTTCCCTGGACGCGGCCAACGCACGGCTAATGAGTGCCCTCACTCAGCTGAAAGAGAGGTACAGCATGCAGACACGTAACGGGATCTCCCCCACAAACCCAACTAAATTGCAGATTACAGAGAACGGAGAATTCAGAAACAGCAGCAATTGTTAACCCGCGGAGGGAGCTGCTGCAGGAGAGGAGGCCTGGCCTGAAAGACTGCGCAGCAGCAGGGGTGAGCCGCACTTCAGAGAATGGCTGCTGTCTGTCCCCCCCGCTCCCCCCCGGACGGCTCCTTACTGCAGACGGCGCACTTGACTGCTCCTTGGTGGGAGATGCCAACGCCAGCGAGTTGAGGGGACGGAAAGACCGAGTGGTGTGAAATGTGTGGCAAAAGGAGAGCTTCCTATGCGGGGAATGGCTGTCACTGGTGGATTTAAGTCAGTGTTTCATGTTTAACCTTTTCCTGCTCCAACTGCCCACAGAGGACACAGCTCACCACCCTGCTGGCCTAGAGGCATGGGCGTGCCAGGAAGCAGAGTAAAGGGGGCTGGAAAGCCTGCGCCAGGCCCACTCCGGCTCGTTAAAGAGCGTGCAGGAGGGGGGCCTAGCGGGAAAAGCTCAGAGGCGGGTGAGAGTGGTTCAGCGGGAAGACACGTAGCCGGACGCCAGCCCTTGCCAGGCACCGCACGGCCGTGGCACTTAGCTGGCTCACTGGGTCCTTCTGTGTAGCGTCAGGTTGGGGTGTCCGCAGCACGGCCCTCCCATGAGCCCCGCAGCGTCCGCTCCCAGCCTGGCTCCGGGCACCAGGGAGGATTCCAGGGCAAGGTGCGGCCGCCCACTTGATGCACACACACACAAGCCGGGGTTTCAATGACCCCCCAGAGCCAGAACTCAGGACAGGCCAGGACCAAGCTTGCCACAGGGAGGCCCGGGGCAGGCTGCCGGGGAGGAGAGAGAGTAGCACTGTAGCAAGGGGTGTGAGGCGAAGCAGTGGCGTAGCAAGCGTTACCTCTGTAGGAGCCCGGGGCTCTCGGGAGCATCCCTGCATCTTGCACCTAAGATGGCACCTTGCAGCAAGAGACCAGCTTTGTCACTGCTTTCCTGTTTGCCAGCTGCTTTTCAGACGCCAAGGAAGTGCAGCGGGTACCGGCTCGTGGCCAAGGCAGCGGGCCTGTGGTGCGCCAGCAACGTTTGAGAACTCATGGAGGATTGATGAGATCCCACAGGACTAGAGATGTGACAAACATACTACCTAGCTTTCAAAGGGGTAACAAAGAGGACTTGGGGAATTACAGACTAGTTGGCTGAATTTCAATACCAGGAAAGATACTGGAACAATTTATTAAGCTGACAATTTGTAAGCATGAAGAGGATAATAGGGTTATACGGAATAGCCTGCATGTTTTATAAAGAACATATCCCAATCCAACCTCATTTCCTTGTTTGACAGGATTACTGGCCAAGTGAATAAAGAGGAAGAAGGAAATGTGATATATCTTGAGTTTGGTAAGATTTTTGCCACAGTCCTACATGACATTCTCATAGGGAAATGTGGTCTTGGTGAATGTCCATCAGGTGGACACACGTCTAGGTTGAAAGACCATACTCAAGATGGTTCACTGTCAAACTGGAAGGATGTATTTAGCCAGGTCCAACAGGAGTCAGTCCTGGGGCTGGTAGTATTGAATATTTTCATTAATGCCTTGGGGTATGTCTACACTACCCCGCTAGTTCGAACTAGCGGGGTAGTGTAGACATACCCCCTCTTCTCTAAGGCACTCTCAGGAGGGGAGGGAGCGGGCTGGGAATTCCCACACGAGCAGCACCCCACTAAATGGCCTGCCCCTGACCACAGCGTCCACCCCGTCCGCTCAGCTCGCCCGGGGCTCAGCCCTCGGCTTGGCCAAGCGTGGGTAATTTGCCCAAACTCTCTAGGAACACGTTGCCAAGCCCCATCGCAATGCAGGGAGCGTGCAGGGCTAGCGGACCCCGTTTCGCAGTGGGCTTTGGTTGGGGTGCAGCCGCTGCTCGTGCAGAGGAGGAGAGGGTGACGCAGGGGGGGGGGTGCCCGAGGCGAAGGTTTGTGCTAAGCGGGCAGGAAAACAAAAGCCCTGAAGAAGCATGAAGATTGGTAATTGTATTTCTTTTCTTTCACAGTATGCATTAGAAACAAATCCAGCCCATTTTCTGGATTACTGTCCTCTTTAAATGGGGAATGCGCCCTGCATGGAAATTAACAGCCTGGAAGAAAGTAAAACATGGTCCTAAGGGAATAACCACCAAGAACAGCAGCAGCCACCGCAGTGCCCATGGTCAGGAGACATAAGCCAGGATTAGACTTTCCCAACTGCTGAAACAAGTAGACACGGCGCATTCCAACCCCTGTTGCCCAGCGGAGGGGCCACCTCCTTAGCGGGGGATTATGCCACCGACCTGCCGCCCGAGCAGGTTTGTTACTGGTTTTCGGTTTAAGTTAGCCCTGCGTGATTCCTAGTCTCAGACCAGAGACCTAGAGAAAGGGCATCTCTGAGCCATGGATGCCCGTGTCCAGTGTAGCGGACACACCTGCCTCTTCTGCCCATTAAGAGCAGATACTTGCTGTAAGCTTGTCCTGCTTTGCCCAGTGCCGGGTTTAAACGTACAGTCAGAAGGCACTTGGATACTGAATTGTGCATAGGCTAGGTGCCCTCACAGGACACGGTTTGCATTTCGGTCCTGCAACCGTAAACCCTAAAAAGATTCATTCCAGAGGGGATGGTTTTAAAGTTAACGCTGCTTTTTTCTAAAAGCTTCTCTCCGTGGAAGCCCCGGTCAGACAGGGCTGCACCTTCTGCAGCTCCGGATTTTGGATGGTTGACGGTCGGTCTGCGCTCGAAGGTCTCCACCCTCTTGTTTTAAATTCACAGGGGGGCCTGACCCTCAGACCAAAAACAGAGCCAAGTAGCCATTGAATATTGGAGAATTAGCACAAATGGCTTTGAAGAAGCTCACAACACTGGCAGCCCCTGGAGAAAGACCCAGACAGGGTAGGAGTATACAGGGTATTATACCAACAATTTGGTACATATGCTTACAACCGTCTTGGTCTCGGCGTCAAATACCTTTAAAGAATCCTGCAAAAAAAAAAAAGACTATTTTTAAAAAGCTGTTGGCCGGGGCTGGCTTGTTAGCTCTGGTTATTTTTTTAGGTTCTGAAATATTCCTCCCGTGAAAGATGGACACTGTTTCACATAGCAAAATGAGACAGAAACGTGACAAGGCTAGGAAGGGGAGGCGGAGGGGTGTTCTAGGAGGGACTGATTTCCATTCTTACCTGGAAACTTCAGGGACTCGGTTTTGGATGCCAGGCCAGGACTCACGCTGAGAACTGGCAGGGGAGACCCTCCCCTCCCCCTGAAACAATTGTCTGTTTAGTACTGTAGCTAAATACGTCTTAGCCTATTCCTCTGCCTTGTGCCAGTCCACTGCTCACATCACTTTTCAGGGACTACATGAAAAACTCTCGGTCCACGTCAAAATCTCAGTTAACACGTGCACTTGGTGCTGCTGGGGTAGCAGAAAAACCTAACACCCTTCCCCAGGGAGCTATTTAAAAACCTAACCTTCCAGCTCCGGCGCCTCCTTCAGTTTCCTGAGCCAGTATGAAACGGAACTCAGTCCCAGAAGGAATCTCCTTTTTGTAGAGATGCCCCCCAGCCATGGGATCCGGATCTGGAGGGTTGGCTCAGGCCCCGCTCTCCCTGTGTTGCTTAAAGTGTGTGGGTTTGCTATTGATAAGCTGTACACCAGTGTGTATGTATGTGTGAGGGGGGGGGCGTGTGTGCACTTCCTGGCCTCCAGCCTGGCGTTTCTCAAAGCAATACCAGAGACAATTTGTGGAGGGGCGCCCAGCAACAGAGCGTAAAACCACCACCCGCCCTGCCGTCGTGCAACCTACTGTTTTCATTCGCGCGTTTGCGGCGGCCAGAGCCGACTCCAGTGCAAAACCTGCAACCGTGTACACAAAACAACAATCTGCCGATTTGTATCTTAATGCGAGTCTGACAACTCTTTTGTATCTGTTCTCGGTGTTTGACTGTAACGTACCTAGTCGCCTAACCGCTGTATATAGTCATTTACATCGGGTGCTGCTTTTTTGGTCAGGGTTTGAGTGGCTCTGCTGCTGGTTTGATTTCGGGGGGGAGGTTGGTTTTAAACAGAGAGGGGCTCAAACCAGCGGAGTCAGGTCTGAGCTGTCTCCGGAGGGCTGGGCTGGACCCAGGGTTTTGATTTGGGGCGTGGGTGGGTTTTGTGAGGGAGAGAAAACGGGCGAGGCTGGGGGGTGGGAAATATCCCATGGGTGCCGCACACCGTATGTTCCAGTTCAGAGGCAGATGCTCCAGGAAGCCTTCGCCCCACCTACCAACTACAACACGGCGCCTTCCCCCGCCCCCGCACATCTCTGGGAACAGAACCAGCCTCCCCCAGACAGGCCCTTGGAGCTCTGCCCGCTTGTCACGGGGCAACGGGCGAGGCTGGGGGGTGGGAAATATCCCATGGGTGCCGCACACCGTATGTTCCAGTTCAGAGGCAGATGCTCCAGGAAGCCTTCGCCCCACCTACCAACTACAACACGGCGCCTTCCCCCGCCCCCGCACATCTCTGGGAACAGAACCAGCCTCCCCCAGACAGGCCCTTGGAGCTCTGCCCGCTTGTCACGGGGCAGGGTGGGGTCTGCGGGCGAGCAGGGTGGGTATCGGCTCCCCCCCCTCTTGGGGGGG